CAGCTTCCTGAGACTGAGGTGACCTTCCAAGAGCAGGATAGGTTCATGGTCCCCCCTCAACTCCCCTGTCTCTCTTTCCTGTGTCTCTCTTCTGAGCTCAATGTGGTCCTTAACAACTCATCTGCTCAAATTCAGTGCTCATGTATATCTCCTGCTCAGATCCTTCCCCCACTCACATTCCTTTGTTAGTTTTATCAACCTTTCTGTAGTTTTTCTTTCTTTTACCTCCCAGCTGATTTTCTAATCACCATCTGCACCTCCTTTATCCTCCCCTTAAAGGATTTGCAACCCTTTATCTAAGGACAAATGATAGCATAAGACCAGCAGCTTTCGTGGGATTTCACCTTTCTAGTAGGCATGTGTGGACATTTTGCACCTGATCGCACCCTCTCGAGTAGGACCACTTTGACTGCCATCATGAAAGGACTCAAGAATGAGAATTTGGTAGAAACACCACCCACAAAACTTCTGCTGCTCCTAGGTAAGTGAATTTGCTTTCTGGATTAGAGTTAATAATAATAATAATAATATAATTTATTGTCATTGTAAGTATATACACAGTATACCCATACAACGAAATTCACAATTAAGAAGACTGATACGCAACTGGGGAAAATGTGGTGGTCAGGTCTCAGGAAAAGGGCAGGCAGAGAATTTTTGGAGGTTATTCTGATTTCCAGTAATGGCAGTCCGGTGTCCAATTATGGCAGTCTCTGGATCTGAGAAGCCCATTTAAAGCAGAAAACTCCAAATAGGTGGCAGAGATGGACATGCAAATTTTCACTGAGCCTCATGGCAAGAATACCACTGTCTTAAATGAATGTTGTGCCTTGAGAAGATAAATATGCTATTGTAGTGAAACACTGCTATGTAATGTTACCCAATTTGTCAAACCAAAGCATATCACACAAACAGCCAGATTTTTTAAAAAAGAATCTTAAGAAGTTCTCTGTAGGAAAGAAACACATTAATAATACATGCTGCAATAGAGGAAAAGAACAGAACAGAATTATATATTTACAAAGTTGTTTAATCCTAACCTTTAAACTATTTTCGGTCATTATTATTCATAGGAAGCAGCCTCTGTTTTTCCTGCAGTAATTAATCTTAGCCTTGGAACGCAAAGACGATGATCCAAGAGAGTGATATGCAGGTGCATTCAATAAATAAAAAATTGGTCTTAACTTATTCTTTTCTGAAGTTTGGGTTGCAGCCCTAACAACTCTTACTCGAGACTAAGCTCCACCGAATGAAGAGGGTCACAATGCTTCAGAATGCGTATAGTTCTCTTTTCCCCTTTGTGTTAATATACTTAACATGGTGATATATTCAGTAAAGGTTATTTGTGATTCTTCATTTATAAGGTAGTGGCTTACACAAAATGGTAATTCGATATCATAATGTAGTAATATATTGTATCTTGTTGAAATATCATAATGTAGTAATTTATAAAATCTACAGAACATAATAGAATGGCATAGTTGAAGCATTTTGAAAAACAACTTTTTGTGACAAATCTAGGGAGAATTTGAAACCCCATGTGCAGTCCATTACAACATTTCCCTCCCCCCCCCAAAAAAGGTGCATCAGCTTGTTTTATCTCTAGCCTACCACACAGTCTTGCGAAAACGATAAGAGTCCAAAAAAAAATGTTGTTAAAGCACCAAAGTGTCCCCTTCCATATGCCACAATGCTGCATGGATTATATTAAAAGGCCATTTTGAAGTGTTTGTCAAGTGGAAATCCACATGTTTATTTGCCTCTTCTACCATATATGGTGTTTGGCCAAGTTTATGGAAACGTCAGGAATCCTTGTACATCTTATTTGAATATCTCTCTCTCTCTCTCTGTCTCTCTCTCTCTCTCTCTCTCATCATTATCTGTGTTTCCAGGATATATTTTGTAGCTGCTGCTTCAACATAGTTTCATATATCGAAAACCCCACAGCTAATTCCAGGGCCCTAGCGGTGGTTGCCACTTTTCCCTCCTCTTCTCTCCTTCACTCCAACTCCCCACATATCGCACAGGCCAAAAACTGATTCCAGAGGATTTTCCAGCTCTGGTTTTAATGGTAAACAAGGGGCTGCAGTGGGAAATTGCCCCCTAACCAGCAGTGTTGGAACCCAGCACTGGTTCACAATTTTAATAATCATATATAAATTAGCTTAAATATGTATACACATAGATGAGGTCTAGACTTGTAATGCCATTATAGAGAAGAAGCCAGTCCTTCTTCTCAATATTGACACAAAACTGCATTTAGAGTAGAGACCATGACTGACGTATACAAAGCTGACATTTATTTATTTTTTAAATTCTGTTTAGTGTTTACTTCCACACTAGTGGACCTGAGTTGGGCCTCACAGAACTGCACCGTTCCGTGCAATGAGCATGCAAAATGTGAAGTTCGTAATGCAATCCCAGGTTGCTACTGTAGTCCAGGATTTACTGGGTCTGGCATAAATGGACCGGGCACAAGCGGTTGTTATGGTAAGACGTTCTCCATCCTGTTTGTTAAATTTCTCTGTTATTTAGTATCGTTTTCTGAAATGCTGTTAGAAATCTCTTTATTCAATTACCTTGTAATTCGGGCACGATATGAAAAAGCACCAAACACAGAGGTGGGAAGCTTTGACATTTTACTCAGTTCTTTTTCTAGCCTTGTGTATTTTGCATGTCTTGTGGAGAACTGAAGTCACTACCAAATTACTCTGCTTAGAAGTGAAGCCAGGTGGTGAGTGCAAACAGGATGTGCACTCCATTATGAACTTCCCAAAGGGGGAAATGCAAAGAAAAAAGAATGAGGGAAGAGGATTTATTTCTCTTAGTTGTCAAAGTGTCACAATATTTTTCCCACCTCTCTCTCTCTCTTTATTTTCTATATCTTCTTTAATTTTGCCAACACAAGAAGTCAAAACATCAATGGAGGAAAAAAACAGAGAATTAAACCTGGTTAGTATCCAACTGAGGCAAGTGTCACTTGTGAAAGCAAAATAGAAAACTAGGGTGGAAAATGAATCAGCCTAGTGATGGTTTAGACTTCAGAATAGCATGGCTGTTGGGAAGTGAGGGTACTCTGTATCCTTTTATTACCAGGCCCAGGTATTTTGCCTCCAGTGACATAATCTGAAGCAAGCCTGGGAACTCTTCAGATTGAATATGAGGGTTTTCAGAGAAAGACCAAGTATTCACATTTCCCACAGAGGATTTCACATAGACCTAGGTCACTGGTTCTTAACCTTGGGTTACTCAGGAGTTTTGGACTGCAACTCCCAGAAGCCTTCACCACCAGCTGTCCTGACTGGGGTTTCTGGGAGTTGCAGTTCAAAAGCATCCAAGTAATAAAGGTTAAGAACCACTGACCTAGGTCATCACTGGATTTCATCTAAAACAAAAACCGAAAATAATCTGAGAGTGAAATAAGTCAATGTGTGATACATGAATTAGAGTTGACAACAACAACAACAACAACAACAACAACAACAACAACAACAACAACAACAACAACAACAACAACACTCTGATTTTGCAGTTCCCAACCATAACTTGGATACTGTTCTTCAATACACTTGGATGGGGGAGGGCAAGTAAGAGAAAAGAGATGAAGAATTAAGTCCCTGAGTTCTGTCGTCTGGATAGCTCAGTGAACGGGAGGGCAAGTAAGAGAAAAGAGATGAAGTCCCTGAGTTCTGTCGTCTGGATCGCTCAGTGAATTGGGTGTCCAGCAGTGGAGCCAGAGATTAGGAGTTTGATTTCTCACTGTGCCTCTGGGGAGAAGAGCCATCCTAGATAGCCTTGGTCAAGCTGCACAATCTCTTGTTCACCCTGAGGAAAAGGGAATGATAAACGGCTTCTGAATCCTCTGTGCCTAGAAAACCCATATGTCAGAATTGACTTGATAGCCAGTCATGATCATGATTATGATCTGGCTCAGTCTTGGGAATTCCTCGGAAAACTTGGAAGTCTGTATTTACATGCAAACCTGCATGGGAAAAGGAAATTCCCATCCTCATACTCCTTTGTTGGTGTGTGAACAAAGTAACAGCAGAGGGGATGGGCTCAGGCAATTCTGTCTAGACATGTCGATGAAACCAGGAATTCTAACAACCAAACGGAGCTAAAGTTACCTCTATATTGAGGATTTCTAGACACTGACGTGTACAAATATACATAGCAGAGG